CCTAGTGATCCTCCTGTTTTCAGCCTTCCCAGCTCTAGGATTACATGCATGGGCTACCACACCTGGTCTCAGTGGCCGGCTCAGTGTACCTGGGGGTGGGGCCAGTGCGCCATGTGGTACTGGGGATCAAATCTGTGGTCCCTGCACTTGCCTAAGCAGGTGCTTAGTCTGCTGAGTTATCTTGAACTTTTGATTTTCCTGCCTCAGTTTCCCAGACAGCTGGGGTCACAGGTGTGTATTACCACACCTGACTTGCTCAAGGCCTCTCAGTGCTGCTATTGTGGGAGTTTGGCCTGTGCTGCCCTCTCCTCAGGTTGACCTGAGGTTGGGTGAACCTGCTGTGGGCAGCTGAGCTCTGGCTGTCATGGTCCTGCCTCTGCACCATGCCTAAGGCCAGGGTGCCTAGGCGCAGCCCTATGGGGTCTGCCTTGCTATTGGCTTCCTGACTCTACTTACCTGGACAGCCCTGGGCTGGCAGCAGCAGGAACCCCTTCCTCCCTCACCCCTTGCCACTCCCTATGCTGCCAGGCCCCGCTTCCTCGCCTTGCACCCTCCCACCAGCAGTCAACACACCTTTGTGGGAGGCCACAGCAGCATTGTGCCCAGCCCACGTGTGTGAGCTAGAAGGGTCCATCTGAGTGTGTGTTCCCTGAGCGTGCTGAGGAAGAGAAAGCCTTCGGGGAGCCCCCTGCTAGCTGGGAACCCATGCAGGAAGCTCTCGGTGCCTCAGTCTCTCATTTGCTCTCACTGAACTCACCTCCTGTCGTGTTGACAAGGTCACATGAATGAGTGCGTGTGGAAGCCCGCAGTATCAGTGTTGTGGCAGTAGCGAGGGTGTCTAGGTGTGGAAAGAGCGCAGTAGGTGACATCAGGGAGGGATGGCTTCCCGTACTAGTGCCCTGTGGCTGTTACCCTGTATCCCTGTGCTGGGCACAGAGCCTGGATTGAAGCAGATTAAATGCATGTTCTCAGTGGACAGAGTGGGGCTGCTGAGATCAGGAAGCAGGACCCACCAGGAGAAGCTGGAGAACAGCTGGAGGCTGAGACCCGGCTGGGGTGGAGTGCGGGACCACAGCTGTGCCTAGGGCTTGCACGGAGGGGAGGGAGCCAGGCGCCTTGAGACCTGCAGTGTGGCCTTGATCCAGAGGGCACCAGAGATGTGGCAACAACCCCTTCATTGCTTGGTCTCTTTTGCTTCTGCTTTCTGCTCTCGTGGTGCTATTTCCTTTGTCCACTTCTCCAGAGGCAGCAAGTCCTTCTCTCTGTGCTCCCATTCTTCTGTGTAAGGCTGACTCTCATCCCAGCCATCTATACCCCAGTACCCACACTTTTTTCAGATCCTACTCCTGGCATCCTGGTCTGCGTGGACGGGGTCTTGCTGTGTAACCCAGGCTGGCCTTGGCCTCGTGGTTCCCCTCCTGCTCCAGCCTCCTGAGTGCTGAGAGTAGGTGTGCACGATCATGCCTGGGGCATCCCGGTCTGTGTTCATCTGGCTTCTCTTCCTCTCTCTGGCTCTGGACTGGCTTCCTACAGTAGGAGCTGGTGGAGACTGGGGGGGAAGCAGGGTCCTGGTGCGGGCGGGCGGGGGGGGGGCACACGGTGGGAACTGGTGTGGCAGCCGAGCGGGTATCTTTGCTCTTCCAGAGGCCTCTCACGCAGCTAAGGCTCGTTAGAAGGCTCTCACTTTGCAGCTGTCAGGATGACAAATGGAAATGCAGGTTGCATAAGGGATAAATTAGGAAGTGATGCTGTCTCATTTTCTTGTTTATAAACTTAGTGGAAGGGGGCTGGGGAGATGGCTCAGTGGAATAAGCACTTCCTTGGCAAGTGCAAGGGCCTGAGTTCAATCCCTGGTTCTGAAAATAAATAAATAAATAAATAAACTTAGTGGAGAGGGACATTGAACTGGATGGAAACCAGATTACAGACAACTATTCCACCCTCTTTCCTTTGAGCTCCTCACCCACCCATCCATCTCTCCACCTACCCATTCATCTACCCATCCATCCTTCTGTCCATCGAGTATATATAGCCATCCATCTACCCGTTGTTTCAGCCCATGTACCCCTCCCTCCTTCCATCTGTCTGCCCATTATTTATAGCCATTTATTAATTCATTGATTGTATCCATCCATCGATCCATCTGTCCGTCCGTCCACCCACCCATCGATCCATCTGTCCGTCCATCCATCCATTACATTCTCCCCCAAATATTTATTGAGCTTCTTCTGTGCCAGCCCCTGGACTAGACACTTTATATTTAATCCTTCTTGAAACTCCCAGGTGGACATTGTCCTCATCTTACACAGAGGACACTAAAACCCCAGGAAGTGACATATATTGATGAGAGCCACACAGTCAGGAAGTGGCAGATGTGAAATCCAGTGCCTTCTGCTCCAAATCTCAAGTGCTGGGGCCGGGGAAATGGCTCAGTAGTATAAGCACTTCCCTGGCAAGCGCATGGGCCTGAGTTCAATCCCCGGTTCCGCAAAAACAAACAAACAAACAAACAAACAAACAAAAAACCAATCCCCCCCCCACAAGTGCTTAGTGTACAGTCACACAATCCTCTTGCTGCTCCCTGCCCACTGCGGAGAGGGAAAGGGCAGGGTACTGGTGAGTGCGCGGGTGTCCGAGAGCCTGGTGCAGAGCCCTGGGGTCCTCTAGCAGGGCCTGAGGTGGAAGACAGAGCTGGCTCCTAAGCCCGCTAGCAGTGCCACCAGCATGCCGACATCGCCACTGCCGCCCCTCCACCTCCCCAGCGCCCCAGCCAGCAGCTCCTTGCACCTGTAGCCCTGGCAAGCCCTTAGTCCTCAGCCCACCTTGCTGGCTCTGCTTCTTCCCAAGGGGAACAAGTTCCAGTTCACATTGTCCCCTCCACAGGTCTCCCCAGACGCCTGCCAGGGGCTGTGGGGCAGCTGCCTTTACTCCGGCCCTTTTAGGGCTTTCTTGCTAAGATGAACACATGGTTGCTTGATTTCAGGTCAAAACTGTCTCCTCAGCCCTGTTGGCTCACACAAGGACTCCCGTGTGAGCAGCTTTTCTGGAGGTGACGTGGGGCGCCTGCTCGAGCAGGGCTGTGGCATAGTGAGGCTGACCAGCGGTTGCTGAGGGGCAGGGCATGTGGGCATGCTTGGCTGCATCCTGTTGGGGTCTCACTCTCCCCATCGAGGGATGGGGTCTTTGGCATGGGGAGGGCAGGGGGGTGGTCAGACAGACACATGGGGGACCAGGTGCGCGTGAGGCACGGACTGTGGGCCTAGCTGCCGTCAGTCCCCGCGCCCAGGTGGTGGGTGCTCTGCCCTGCCCTCTCTGGCCCATGCAGCTTCCCCTGCGGCCCCCCACCAGGCCCACAGCCCCGCTGTCCAACAGATATTCAAGGAGTCTGAACAAGAAGTGGAAGCGGCCGAGGTCCCTCAGAGACCTGTGGTGCACATGCTGGTGCTGGCTGTGCTCCCTGGGCCTCACAGGCCCAGCATCCTCTCCTGGCTATGCTGGGTGGCACGTGGCCCCGGGCTGGCTCCGCCCTGCCCCAGGACCCTAAGGCTGTGATTGCGGCAGTCCCTGACTTCCTTTCCCCCTGCCTCTTCTCTGGGTCCCGTGGCTGCCATGTGGCTGCCCATTGGTCACGAACTGACCTCCTGGAGCCTCCATCCCCCACCCCGGCATCTCCATCAGAACAGGGTGCAGTGCATGGGCTCTGGGGAGGCACTTTATGCACACAGGGACTCTGCTGGCAAAAGCTGTGTGGAACCCCAGTCCCCTTGGCCCTTTAAGGCAGTGGCAGGGGTTAAAGGAAGGAAGTGATGTGAAGTTCCCCCCAAGGGGGTGGGCAGGGTGGGCCTGGCTGTGTGTTCCCACTGGAAATTGCTGAGCCCCAGCAGCCCTCCACTCCCAGAGGCTGTGCTGTCTCTGTAGGGCCCCCATTGTGCCTTCACCTCCAAAATGGTTGAGCAGGCCAGGGTGCCGGGCGGAAGTATGTCTGCCTCAGCTGGCTGAGCTTGTCACTACGACCTTCTCCCTGTGGTAGGAGCTTCTGCTCCTCCTGGAGAAGCTCACTGTGACCCCATCCCACCTCCCTGCACCCCATCTGCATAGAAAGTAGCCACACTTTCTCTGCAGGTGCAGGTGTGGAACAGAAGGCTCTGGCTGGTGTGTAAGATGGGGCTTTCCCTCCAGCATCTGCGCCCGGGGAGGAGAGCTGGGCACCGGGGCCATGTCTCACCTGTGCAGGAAGCCTTGGAATGGGGGCAGAGGGAGGGGGAACAGAACTACAGGGAAAACAGAGGCGCAGAGACCCCGCCCTGTGAGCATGGTCCAGGGTGCAATTTCTATCCGTCCCAGCAGGGGCTTTGCATGGAGTTAAAGGATGGAGAGGGGGTAGAAGTGTTTGTGGGAATTTTGTACAGATCCCTCATCTTCTTCCCCTTGCAGTGTGTGCCTGGGGAGATGCAGCAGGTGGGAGGGCAGGATGGAACCCTGGAATGTTGCAGGAGCAGTGACATCGCCAGGGGCTCGTGCCACCGAGATCTTCTAGAAATACCTCGTGGGCCCACAGGCTGGGAGGGGGCCTGGCAGGGTGGAGTCAGGAGGGAGAGAGCGGCCTCAGGGGTCGTTACCGTTCTGGGCTGCTGCCTGTGGTGTCCAGGCCTTGGCTGGGCAGAGAGAGCCGGTCCTGCCCCCACCCGGCGTGAGTCAGATCGAAAGCAGAAGCTGGCAGCCTCTGCTCCGGGTGAGGTGAGGCAGAACCGCCTGTGCTATTTTGGAACCCGGTTAATTCCCCCTCTGCCTCCCCTGTCTCTGGGCTCCCACCCCCTCCTGGTCTCCAGCACCCTGTCTTCCTTAAGGGACAGTGGGATGGGACTCCACGTCCCCTGGCAGAGTGTGAGGGGGATGCTGTCTCCCCTCGCTGGACTCCTCTCTTGTTTCTCGGGGTCGCGCTGGGTGAGTGTAAAGGGCCCAGCCTCTGCCCAGTGGGAGCTGGCAGGCAGTGTGGCCCTGGCAGATGCCCGCAGGCTGCCAGCATTGCACCCTGGCCTAAGCGCCACCCTCTCCCTGCCCATCTTTCGCCACTCTTGGGCCAGCTGTCAGCTGTCCCCAGGGCCGCACTGACAGCTCAGGTGGGACCTCTCCCGGCAGTGAATCCCAAGGCTGGGAGGGATTTCCGGGCCTGGAGGAAGATATTTTGGGACAAGGGCCTTTCCAGAACTCGTGAAATCACGCACCCTCCCGAAGCCCCACTGGGACCCTGGCAAAAGCTCCTTCTCCGGCATCCTGGGTTGCTTGGGGTTCAGTCCACACCTCAAGGTTTGTCTGGGGCCAGCAGCCTCACTGCAGTGGTGACGGAGGTCAGTGGGGCTCGGGCTGTTGGGGAGAGGGTGGAGGGAAGAGTGTCATTTGTCCTGGCCTGCTGATGGGGTGGACCAGGGTCCCTTCCTCACCTGAAGCTGTGTGCTTGGGCCCCAGGGGCTTGGTCACTGTCCTGTGTGTGTGCCTGGGAGACAGGCACAGTGATCGCTGTGTGTGGCTGTGTCTTGGGGACCCCAAGGTCAGCAGCGGGTATGGTGTGTCTGTATGCAGGGCCAGAGGCACCAGGCAGGACTGATGAAAAGCTGGGCCCTTCCTTGCCAACCTCGAAAGAGGGGCTGTGGGTTTGTTGCTGCTCAGGTGGGAGGGGGCAGGCACGGGGGAAGAGTGGGCCTGTGCCCCCAGCCTCCTGTGTGACCTGCCACAGGTGTCCTCGAGCTGGCCAACTCTCTGCTGAAGCTGTCCTGGGTGTCTGACAGCATGCATGTAGGGAGTAAGTGCATGTGCCAAGGTGTGTGTGTGCAACAGATGGTGTGGGGGGGTGCCTCACACCATTGTCTGGGCTAATTTTCCTGGGGGCAGCACCTCCACCTCTGGGCTATTTCTCCACAGACAGTGACTAACTCTCTGTCCTGCTTGGGCCAGGCCCAGGGAGCCCTCCCCGTGGGGTGCAGACCCCGCATCCTGCACCCCATCATCTGGCACTTCCCAGGTCTCTCTGGGCTCAGAAGGGCCTTGCTTGTCTCTCTCCTCCAAGGCTGTACCTCCCTGCCGCCTCCCCCCACCTGTCACCAATTTCATGCTTGGAATCCAATGACCGAGTCTCCAGGAGGCTACAAGTTACTTCGCGTAGCCTACAAGTGTCCTTGTGGAAACAGAGCTTCCAGGCTGTGGTGATTTGTGAAAGGGCATCTCTGGCTCCTGGGTCCCAGCTGGGGCCCGAGAGTCTGTGTTTTCAATCAGCAGCCGGTGTGGGTGGAGGGGATGTGCTTTGTGTGGCAAGGATTTCAAAGGTTCCCTTTCATCCAGTGCAGGCAGGGATGGTCAGGGGCAGCAGGAAGGAACTCGCAGGAGCAGACACTCTGGAACTGCCTGCTGGGGGCCCGTCAGCTCTGCTCACCTCCCACCTCCATGGAAGCTGTGGGCACTGCTGCTGCTGTGGTCCGGTGTGGAAACTGAGGCTCTGAGAGGCTGAGTGCCTGCTCCCAGCTACGTGACGCATAAAGCAAAGCTGCATCTGAGCTTGGCTTGTTGGAGTCCAGAGATCGGGGTGCTGCACTGAACACCACTATCCTCCAGAGTCAGAACAGCGGGTGTGTGTAGAGAGCTAAATGCCAGGGTCAGGGACCTAGGGGCATGGTCGTGGGTGGGATAGAGGCCTCAGGAGAAGAGGCGACTGAATGGAGAGGAGGTGGAGAGGTGGCTGGTGCTGAGTGGCCAGGATCCTGCCTCTCTTCTTCTGAGTTTAGGATGCCTTAGCCTCCGCAGGCCAGGGCAGATGGGCTTCCGTGGGCGGCAGATACCTCACAAGTGCGCATGCGCAAGTTCAGCTGGGCATGCGGGCTGAGGCCTTTGGTTTGAGTCTGGGACAGGACAGAACTTCAGGCTGCTGTGGTTTCCCCCTCTCTCCCTCCTTTTTTCCCTCCCTCACACCCTTCATTCTGTCCTGTGCTTCTTTCACATAGCAGAGCCTGGGTACTGCAGTTAGGGAGCCGCTGTGTCTCAGGTACTTGGAGGCCATTGGGTACCTCATGATGGAACCAGACAGTGACTAAGCCCCAGGGAGTCTGGAAGTGCTGGGTGGGACAAGGGCAGTGGGGAACAAAGGAGGGGGGGCGCCCCAGGAGCAGGAGTGGGAGCCAGGTACTGGGGGGGCCAGGGAAGGCCAGGGAGGGGGCTGAGGTACACAGACCCTGAGGCAGTTAGTGGCTGACTCAGGGCTACAGAAGAGGGAGACCTGGGCCTGGAGTGTCAGAGGCTTGGGTGCAGGCACTTCTGCCCCAGGGGATGGGAAATGAGTCCCCGAAGCCTTGGGGATTTCTGAGGACTAGGTTTAAAGGGGACATGTGCAGGCCTGAGCTGTGCAAGGATCTGCACGGCCATAGCCCTGTGGCCTCTCCGGACAGGGCTGGAAGGAGCCTGCACCTTGTCGGCCCTGGGACACAAGGGTGACAGTGTCCCTGCCAGTGCAGGTCCCCCAAGTCCACTGCAGCTGTGGGCGGGCACTTGTGCTGAGAACACAGTGAGGCCCAACAGCAGACTTACTCCAGAGAAACAGAGCTTCCAGGCCACAAGCCCGCAATAGAGGGGCTCCCTCCAGGGAGCAGCCTCCAAAGTCACACGTGCAGCCTGTCAGACAGGGCTGTGGCCCAGATGGGACAGGGTCACTGGTGGTCCCTCCTGCAAGAGGAAGAAGACCAAGAGCTCCTGGCTGGATACCCCCCATACTGGTCCGGCCCCAGGCCTCTACCAGACCATGGTTCTTAGGGGCCGGGGAGATGGTTCAGTAGAGTAAGTGCTTCCCTGGCAAGCGCAAGGGCCAGAGTTCAATCCTCAGTTCCGCCAAGTCCTGGGGCATCTGGGAGCACCAGGGATGCCTAGGCCTCTCTGGGTGGCCTTTGTAGGTTCCCCAAGGTTGGCATGATATGGGAGAGCCACCTGTCTACCTGGGGATCTTCCTGTGTCCCCAGCCTTCCTGGCTGTGATAAGGTGGCTGTTGGTCATCTGGAAACCCTGGGCAGGAACGCCTTGCCCTGTGCTCTGAGGGTGTGACTGTGGACATGTCGCCTCACTCTTCTGAGGCTCTCTGTCCTTCCCTGCAGTGTCACATCCTTGAAGCTGGGGGCCTAGTAGATGCCCAGGAAACAGAACAAAGCAGAGTGGACAGAGGCAGGGCTCTGCAGGGGTCAGAGAGTCCAGGAGGGGAGAGACACAACAAGTCCAGCTTGGTAGGGCTGATACGCCGGTCCTTTCTGCCCCTGCACCCCACGCCTGCCGAAGCCACACCTTCTCACCACATTGTCCACCCATTCCTGGGGATGGAAACTGACCTGGAGTGCATGGGCCTGGGCTGGGGGACCTGGAGGGCACCTCTTCCCCCACCTGCGGTGCTTGAGGTGAAAATGCAGGCCTCAATTCCCTCCTGACCCCCGACCTATGGCCCCCTGCCTGTGGTGGCCCAAACGTGAGACCTGGGTCCTAGTCTCTCCATTGCATGCGTGCACGACTTCCTCATGTGATTCCCTGCTGCTTCCTGGCTGTCCTTGTTGCAGGCAGGTCCGATTAGCACAGATTGAGGGTGCCTCCTTGACAGCATGATGCTGGGATTACAGTCGGGCACTCCCATGCCCGAGCTGACTTCAAACTCACTATCTCACTATATAGGCCAGGCTGGCCTCCTGCCTCAGATTCACAGGTGCTGGGATTACAGGTACACACACACACACACACACACACACACACACACACACACACACCCGCCCACCCTGCACCTGGCTCAGAAGGAAACTCTTCAGAGCCTAGGGCTTTGGGAGAGAAACAGAGGGTGTTTGGTGATGGGAAGAGAGGCTCCGCCTTCCTGCCTATCTCAGGAGAGGGAAGGGTGGGGCGGTTCTGCACTCTCTGGGAGCTTGGAGAGTGGGTAACTGGAAGGGGCCCCTTCCCCCAAAGAAAGCTAGGGGTGCAAAACCAGGGGCTCCTTTAGAGGATTCCCCAGTGGGCCAGTGACAGTGAATTATGCCCAAAATGGGGATACTTCACTCTGTCCACATAGGGGTCCCAGTTTTATAGGGAGAAGTGACCCCAGATGGGGAGACTGAGGCCAGACCAGCCATAGAGTCAGGCCCAAGGTAGGGGCCTGCAGCCAGGCAGGTCCTTCTGTCCTTCCCTCAGCATCTTGTGGGTGGCTGCTGGCCCTTGGGAGTCGTGTGACACCATCTCACTCCCAGGGTCATTTGGGCTGAGGCTGGCTAAAGTCCCCTGATACCTCGCGGGGACCTGTGACTGCCTGGGTAATGTGGAGCAGCTGTGTCCTAAGGCATAGGGATGACGTGGACATTCTTGCCCTGTTTCCTAGCCCAACAGGCCCTGCTCCTCTGCACAGGGGGCTCAGAGAAAGTAGGGCAGACTGCAAATCTGGAGTTTTCCTGACCTCCCCTCCAGAGGTACAGAGGCTCTGGGAGGCCCAGGCAGACCCTGCCCTGTGCCTGCTTGGCCTCTGCTGGTGGCCACTTCCTTCCCCAGGACCCCGAGCTGCTTACTCCTGCGGGTAGTTTGCAACACACTCGTCTGAGGAATTTTTTTTTGCCTGCAGGGGCACCGGACCTAACAAATGGCTTCAGCAGGCGCCCATCCTGCTGCCGGGTGCGCTCTGGCTGTCGTTTCAGCCGCCAGACATGTGCTTTCCTGGGAATGCAGGAAATGTGCCTGCCCTTTGAGAAAGACGAGTTTTTTTCCTCCTGTGCATGGGAATTACAGGCAGTTCCATCATCCTAGGCTGGATGAAAGGGATCAGATGCTGAAAGACTTTTTTTGAAGGGAATCCTGAAATTAAAAACCTGGCAACACTGAGCCCCAAGCGCAGGACCAGGGCTGAAATCCTAGCCCCAGGGTTCCAGGCTGGGAACCAGATCCAGCCTCCCACACATTAGCTGTGTGACCTTTAAGGTACAGGCTACAGCCTCTCTGGGTCTGGGAGGTGGGACAGCAATGATGCTCCCAAAAGAATAGTGAAAATAAGGTTTCAGATGCCACCGCCACCCTGGCACAAGCTGCTGGCATAAACGAGAGAAGGGGCACTCCTGCCTGAAGGTGATCCAAGGGACGACCGTGCTCCTGATCATGCCCTCGGGTGCTTTTGCATCTTCCCCTCAGAGTGTTCTCTACTCGGATTTGTACAGGGAGCTGAGCAGATTTGGTGTGGAGTGGCGTGTGCGCTTTGTCCTCCGCAGATCTGTGCGGTCTTTATTGTGAACTCAGTTTCCATCTGAGGGCTTGCTGTAATTTACCTACCTCTCCTATAGCTGGATGTGGAGACTGAGTTTTTGCTTTTCTCTTCTCACGCAGATGTTTTCTGCCTTTTGGGTCAGTCCCTTGGACAATGAGTATTTTTTAAGGCTTTGACCTGGATCGCCAAGTTGGTTTTTCTGAGTGGCACCAAGGGGCCAGCTGGGAGCCTCAGTGAAAGCCACAGATGAGCTTGGGGAGGTGTGGTTGGCGAAGGTCATCTGCCGAACTCTCTTAATCTCTTTAAAGCCCGTCTTCATGCTCATGTGATTCTTGAAAAATTTTTATGCTTATTAGTGGTACATATTTGGCGAGCACAATGATCACATTCCCTGCGAGGAGTTGGAACCTACGTGTAACGTATCTTAATTCTGTTAATATCCTTTCTCTCTCGTATCATGTTTTTTTAAAAAACATAAAAAAAGAAAAAGAAAACATGAGGGGCCAGGGAGATGGCTCAGTGGAATAAGTGTTTCCCTGGCAAGCGCAAGGGCTTGAGTTCAATCCCCGGTTCCACGAAAAAAAAAAAAAAAGAAAGAAAGAAAGAAAAGAAAACATGGTAAAGGAGCAGCTGCATGAATGGCCACACGCAAGATAGCCTCACTTCACTGGTACCTGCACAGATTGCAGATGCCCCAGCCCCCCACCCACCAAGCCGCCCATGTCCCTCGCAGGGTGTCCCCAGGGCTCGCCTGGGTCCTGCCTCCTCACACAGTGAGTTTATTTGGCCTGTTTGGGAGCCGCCTATGTATGGCCAGTGCACGCGCCTCCCTGTGCCTGCCTTCTGTCACAATGCCTGTCTGCGAGGAGGCCCGGCCGTCCCCGTGCTGGCTGCCTCTGCAGCTGGCTGCACTCCTGGCCCAGTCGCATTCCATCCCGGGCCACTTCTCTCCGCTCTCCTCCCTGGCTGTTGGGGTGGTTTCCGGTTCAGGCTCCCATCCAGGGCGCCGCCTTCCGGGACCAGTCTGCTGGATCCCTGGTGATGACACTCCAAGGTGTCTCTTCCAGGCAGGCCTCATGGCAGGAGTGTGGGCGCGGGGTCCCAGAGCAGCTGTGTTTTGGCTTTCTGCTCCCGTTTCTTAAGGATCACCTACCTACAGGGCAGGTAATTCCTCGGGGGCTCAGGTCCCATCAGCCCAGAGCCCCAAGCTGCGTGCCCCAGAGCTTCCGCCCCCATGGGTGCAAGGCTGCCGACCCTGAGTCCTCAGTGGGCCTGGTGACCATGACTGGGAGCAGGGCAGGGTGGGGCCAGGCAGGAGAGCTGGGGTCCCTTCCTACCCAGGCATACACCTATAATCTTAGCCCTCTGGGAGGCTGAAGCAGGAGGGTCATATGTGTGAGCCCAGTCTGGGCAGCTTAGCAAGGCTCTTGTCTGAAAGGGCTGGGATATAGCTCAGCACAGAGGCCCTGGGTTCAGTTCCCAGTACTGGAAAAGTAAATACATAACTGAAGACACACAGGCTACACACTGCTGGTGGAAGAGTTAGGGTCTTCCCAGTGGAAAGGTAAAGTATCAATTGCCCCAGCCCGCAGTGGGCGCTGGGAGGTACCAGAAAGCCCAGAAGAGTGGCCAGGACCAGCTGTGAGGAGGGCCGCCTGGGCTGTGGACCTCCACTCTGCTTCTGTCAGCTGCAGCCCGGGGACAAGTTACTTCAGTTCTTTGTGCCTTAGTTTCCCCCTTGGAAATGGGGCAGTATCTGTCCTCTCCTCACAGGGCTGAGCTGAAGAATAAGCGAATTTGTATTAAAAGAGCTCTGGGGCAAGCGCTGATCCTTCTGACCTCTATGTGTGGACCTGCTTTCTGCCAGAAGGGGCCCGGCCTGTGTATCTCTGCAGTTTCCTCTTCAGGATGTGTCTTTAACAGCTTCTTTCCTCTGCCTTCTGCTTGCTGAGACTTTTCTGCCAGTGATTATCTCCTGGTCTTTCCAACTACTCCATGTGTTTGCCGTAGGAAGGTTCTGGCCCGCTTGTTCACACTAAGGTGTCAGTAACTGATGGGGAAGTGTGTGCAAGTGCCTGCGCGTTCACAGGGCGGGGAAACAGTTCTGACCCCGCCCAGAGGAAGCCAGGACCACGCCCCCTGGGAGTGTCTGAAGGCAGCAAGTTCAGGCATCCACTGTGTCTCCTTGTCATGGGTGGACCCTCACCTGTTGGAGGAGGTGCTGCGCCATAGAGGTAGCCCTGGTGATGGGCAGCAGGTCCTGGGTGCACTTAGTGACCACCCTCCAGGCTTCAGGGAGCACCAGATTTGGGCTTAGAAGGTGGGCAGATCGGACAGGGTGGGGTTCTTGTGCCCAGGTCTCCCACAGACCATGCTGTTTGCCCCAGGTTGCCCTGCATCCCAGCCTTCATCCCACACCCATCCCATGCCTTGCAGCCCAGGCTGGGGGCTGGGCCAGGAGAAGGCCCCACTTATTGTGGGGCAAGGGTCCCTCTGCCCTGCTGTCCACCATGAAGGGTGGGCACAGAGGGCCCAGGCCCCAGCAGACACGGGACAGGGACACCCAGTGCAGTGGCAACCACCCTGACGAGGCACAGTGGCAGCACACCCGATGAGGCGCCCAGCCCTTTGTCTGGGGAACAAGGGCATCCTTCTCCCCCGCCTGCCGAGCCGACTGGCACAGCCAGGTCCACAGCCCCCGCATGGCTACTGACGCTGGCCTGTCCCAGGAGGGCCACCCAGTGCAGCTGCAGGCTGTGGAGTGTGCAGACAGGGTGCCTTCTGTCAGGGGCTGGGTGGGGCGGGTCAGCCCTCTTGGGCTCTGCCCTTCTGGTGTTTCTGTTCCTGGGAAAGAAGGATAGTGACCAAGACTTCTTGGGGTGCCTCTCTCCCCCTTTTGTTTTTAGAGGTAGTCTCACTATGTTGCCCAGGCTGGCCTTGAACTTGCTGTGACCCTCCTGCCTCAGCCTCTGGAGTGCTAGGATTACAGGTATGCACCACCACACCTGGCTCTTCATAGGGCTTTAGACGTGCAAGGGCAGGAAACCATGCCTGACTCACTGTAGGTATCCAAATCCATACCTGCACAGTTTCCTCCATTAGCCCCAAGATATGGGGGAGCCCAGGATGCCAGACCACACAGCCCAACTACCCTGCAGGTTGGTGCTTACTTGGGTGTCACCTACACACAGCTGGGAACCCCCCACTGTGTGGGACATTATTTTCACTTGATTCTTATCATGGTAAGTGGAAACTTTACCAGGAGAGGAAACAGGCTCAGAGAGGTTAAGTGACTTGCTCAAGGGCACACAGCAAAGAAATGGCAGACCAGGGTTCAAGCCCACATCTGCCCTGTTGGAAAGCCCTTGCTCATGCCAGGCATGGTGGCTCACGCGGGGTGTGGTGGTGCATGCCAGTAATCCCTGCACTGGGAGGCTAAAGCAGGAGGATCACCATGAATTTGAGGCCATCATGGGCAACATAGTAAGTTCAAGGCCAGCTGAAGTACAGAGTGAGATGCCATCTCAAAACACAAAAAGGCCTTGCTCAACTATCCAGGCCTCTGGTAGAATCCCCAAGAGGAGGACCCTCTGGCCTCTCCACCCAGGGACCCTGTGCCCCTTGCCAGCTCCGCCCATCCCCTCTGGGCAGGGCTGGGGAAACCTGTGTCCAGCTGCTGTGTTTTGTGCCTGGGCCCTAGAGGCTCCTTGACAGAGAGGGATTTGCTCAGGGCCACAGTGAACAGCGACAGCTGCAGCCTGCTGTCCAGCTGTGGGACCATCTGCCCCACCCTCCCGCCTCCCAGCCAGGCTTGGGGGCCTCTGTCACCCCTGCCTCGTCAAGACAGAGATGGATTGAGCTGGGTGAGAAGGGGTCCCTGGCCCTGTCATTTCTGGTGGCCCTGTTTCACCTACAGTTCAAACCAGTTTCCCCCAACCCCCACCCCATTCCTGGTTAATAAAGGATGTACATTCTCTTCACGCTTGGACCTCCTGGACCAGGACTGTGGGCTAGAGGCCTAGAGGTGGAAGGTACAGAAGTAAACAAACAGCATGCCTGCCCCTGGGGAAGTGTGCATTCCCCCCGGGGACCACACATGGGCCAGCGCTGCCAAATGCGTAGCATTTAAGATGGCAGTGCATGATAAAGGGAAGCTGAGAGCCCAGGGTGAGTGGGGTGCTGGGCGTGGGGGGTCACCGGGCAGTGGGGACAGTGTGGTGAGGTTTGCGCCTTGGAGGAGGTGCAGCAGGGAGTCTCGATGGTATCAGGAGAGAGCATTCCTGGCTGTGGGAGCAGCCAGTGCAGAGACCCACAGTGGGGACAGGCCCCGAGGGCATTGGGCATGGTGGAAGGAGCCAGGTGTCAGCAGGGGGAAGCCTGGGGCTGGGGCGCACCCAGAGGGCTGCTGTGGCTTGACGAGGACCTTGGTGATGCTGCTGGGGGAAGTGGGAGCCATGGCAGGTTTTGGACAGCGAGCAGGGCAGGATTCGACTTGGGTTTGGGCAAGATCTTGGGAGTCTCCCAGCTGTGGGAGGGTAGTTGTGAGGGCTTGGGGAAGGCGGCGGCGCCCCGCCCACCAGGCCCTGGGGACCTGGGCGCGGCCAGAGCCGGGATAGGAACAGACCCGGAGGAGTCGAGGCTGACACCGGGATCCAGGTGGCTGTCTGCGCAGCACAGCAGGCTGCTCAGGTCTCTGCAGAGCGGCCAGGCGCATGGCGCAGCTCAGCAGCCAGCCGGCTCCGTGGCTGTGGACGCATCCCTTTCCCGCTGAAGGCTCCGGGTCCCCTCCGGGGTCATGGGAGCCCCAGCACGAACACCAGCTCCCTGAGGAGAATCCAGACTGCGAGGGGGCGCAATGCCTCACAGGGCCCTGTACCTGCGTCCTCAGGGAGCCGTCGGCGACCATGGCCTCGCGCATCGGGCTGCGTATGCAGCTCATGCGGGAGCAGGCGCAGCAGGAGGAGCAGCGCGAGCGGAGGCAGCAGGCGGCCGTGGTCCAGTTCCTGCAGCAGCAGCAGCAGCAGCTTGGGGCCCCGCCCTCGCCTGCCATCAGCACCCCTGTGCCCTTCCGGCCGCCGCCGCCCGTGCCTGGTGAGGTGCTCAAGGTAGGTCTTCAGGTCCCAGGTCCCCACCCCACCTGGGTCCTGGCCCTGGGTCTCAGGCCCCTGCCTGGGGGCGTCCCAGACCCCCGCCCCCACCTGGGTCCTGGCCCCGGCCTGGGTGTCAGGTCCCCGCCTGGGGGCGTCCCAGCCCCCTCCCCCCCACTGCAGCTGTTCCCTCCACCAGGTGCAGTCCTATCTGGAGAACCCAACCTCCTACCACCTGCAGCAGTCCCAGCATCAGAAGGTGCGCGAGTACCTGTCTGAGACCTACGGGAACAAGTTCGCAGCCCGGGTCAGCCCAGCCCAGGGCTCCCCGAAGCCCCCACCTGCCGCCTCTCCCGGGGTGCATGCGGGGCATGTGCTGTCCACCTCAGCTGGCAACAGCGCGCCCAACAGCCCCATGGCCATGCTCCACATAGGTTCCAACCCTGACAAGGAGGTGAGCAGGGATGGGGTTGCCAAGGAGAGGGGAGCTCTGGGAGCCTGCATGGGGGGGGGCTGGGCCCTGACCTCACTGGGGAACATGGTTAGTATGCACCACCCTTTCTAGGGCCACACAGGCAGGCACACAGGAGACCCCTGTGCCCACCACGCTGTGGGGTGGATCAGCCTCCCAGCAAGGTTGGCTCCCAAGAAAGGCCCTCGCTGGTGTTGGGGTTGGGTGTGTCACTTGGGGTCCTCTTCTAGGTGAGCCAGATAGGCAAAGTGGCTCAGGGCCCCTTCAGGGCAGCACTATCCCTGCTGTCCCCATCCCTGTCTGCCCCTGGGTCACCTCCAGATGGCCTTTTCCTTTTTCCAGTTTGACGATGTGATTGACAACATCATGCGCCTGGACAACGTGCTGGGCTACATGAACCCCGAGCTCCAGATGCCCAACACGGTACCTGAGGGCTGGCCGGGTGGGAATGGGGTACAGGGGCTTTACAGTGGCTGAGTGACAGACCCCTCTGCTGGGAACATCCTGCCCTGAGACACTCTGGGTCTCCCAGGCAGGGAGGGGCTGCGGGTGGGAGAAGCTGGACTTGGGATCCAGGGCTCCCAGTGTACTCAGCTGCACCACAGGGCAGCCCTCTACCCACAGGGCTGGGGGGTGCTGAGCCGAACGAGGAACCAAAGGCAAGGCCTGCTGTGCAGTGCAGCAGGAAGCAGGCCCGAGGCCCACAGCCCTGGTGACTATGCCAGTGGCTCAGCAAGACTGGCTAGAACTGGCTGGGGCCAGAGCTGCAGCTGGCAGGGGCCGAGGGGGAGGGGGAGGTGCCAGCGTCCAGTCCCAATTGTAGCTCCATGCACAGTGCTGAGTGTCCCTGCCCAGATCTGTCCCTGTGGCTGGAGCTGGGGAGGTCGGTCCAGAGCCTAGATTGGTCTCTGCTTAAACCTCCACTGGCTGCCCTCTGGTGTGCATGGCTCTCACCCTGGCACTCTAGGAGGTCGAAGCGAGAGGATCATACATTTGACTCCAGGCTGGACTTGGGGACATAGCTCTGTGTAAAATGCCCTGGATTCAGTCCTCAATACCACAAAACAAAAAACAAAACAAACAAAACAAAACAAACAAACAAACAAACAAACAAAAAAAAATATATATATATATACTAGGCGTGATGGCGCATGCCTGTAATCCCAGCATTTGGGAGGCTGAGGCAGGAGGATTGCAGCAAGTTCAAGGTCAGCCTGGGCTGCATAGCAAGACACTGTCTCAAAAAAACAAAAACAAAAACAGACCGCAGTGCTCCACGAGCGAGCGGGCTGCTTCTCCTGTTCCTGCCTTGCTCCTCACCCTATCAGCTTGGCCTAAGCTGCTGGCACCCGCACCAGGACGCTCCCAGCTGCCGGGCAGCCCCTGCCTCTCCTCCTCCCAAGGTTCAGGGCTTGGTGGGGCTCTACACCCTCCAGGAAACCAGGAGTTTCAGGCTCAGCTGGGCCATCCCATCCCATTCCACTCCGGAGGGCAGGGCCACAGTGTGTAGTTTCCAGGCTGCCCTTCTGGGGAGGGGGCCCAGGGCTTCCTTGTGGTGTCTCCAGGGACTCCAGGCCCTGGAGTGGGCACCCCATGGCTCACCCAGGCCCCCTCCACCTTGCTCCACAGCTGCCCCTGTCCAGCAGCCACCTGAATGTGTACAGCAGTGACCCCCAGGTCACAGCCTCCCTGGTGGGGGTCACCAGCAGCTCCTGCCCTGCCGACCTGACCCAGAAGCAGGAACTCACAGGTAGCATGCCCCTGCCTCTGGTCTGCATCCCACTGCCCCCAAGTCTCCTCCAGCCCACAGTCCCACAGTTCTCCTCTCCCACCCTGAATCCAGATGCTGAAAGCCGGGCACTGGCCAAGGAGCGGCAGAAGAAGGACAATCACAACCTCAGTGAGTCCTGCCCACCCTCCGCACTGTCACCTGCCCTTCCTGCCCTCAGGACCCTTCCCTAGCCCCAGACCCTCCCATCACCTCTGCCCAGGAGGCAGGGTACCCCAACCGCCCTCTTTGAAGCCCTGGTCCTTTTTAGGAGGGGCTGAAAGGCTGCTGGGAAGGGCTGTTTCAGAAATCCCACTTACTCATGGTGACCTTTGGAGCAGGGACCCTGGGGCTACTGAGGGAGGGTAGGAGCTCACCCCAGGCAGCGGGCTGGGCCTGCAGCTTGCACGAGGTGCTGCTGCCCACAGGAGCTCGCTCGTCCTGACTGGCCTGAGCACTGACCCCTAGACTCTGGGGAGTCCCTGTCTGCTGCCCCCTCTCCCTAGGCTGGGGCTGCCCCAAGGGTGTCCCCACCCTCTGAACTGCTGCTTCTGGAATCTGCCACCTGTAGTTGAAAGGAGGCGGAGGTTCAACATCAATGACCGCATCAAGGAATTAGGAATGCTGATCCCCAAGGCCAACGACCTGTGAGTGCTGCTGAGGGGTGGGGACCGGTACTTGGGGGAAAGTCCCTGCCAGGGGTCCCTCACTGCTTCCCACGACCAGCAGCTTTATGGGAAAGGGGGCAGGGCTTTCTGGAGGAAGCATCCTGCTGGGAGGTCTAGGGGTGGGGAAGTCTGGGGACAGGGTATGGAGGGCAGGTTGGCAAGGGGCAGAGCAGAGGGTCTGGACCTGGGCATTCGCCTCTGACTGCCCAGCTGTCCTGGCCGCAGGGATGTGCGCTGGAACAAGGGTACCATCCTGAAGGCATCTGTGGACTACATCCGGAGGATGCAGAAGGACCTGCAGAAGTCTCGAGAACTGGAGAGCCACTCTAGGCGCCTGGAGATGACCAACAAGCAGCTCTGGCTGCGCATCCAGGTCTGGCTTCCACCCTGGGCTTCCTGGGTAGCAGGGCAGGGCCAGCAGCCCTGAAGTTGGCTGGAGGGGAGGCAGGGTGGTCATCTGCCGTAAGGCCTGGGCCTCCGGGACAGATGATCCCGCATACCTTTGGCTGCAGTCGGTTCTGGGATCTGGCCTAGCTAGAGCAGCTCTTCCTGCCCCATGGCCCTCTGAGGTCTTGGCTTGACCTTTGCACCTGACCTCTGGGGGCAGGAAGGTGCTGCCCTACTATGGGCCTAGACCCAACTGAGTCACCAGGGACCACACCAAAGTACCTGGGCTCTGGTGTGGCAGCCGTACCTGCTGAGCCTCCTGTTCAAATTCCACCTCTGCTTGGAGGGCTGCTTGTTTCTGCGGTCCCACGCCAGACCTCTATGCTGGGGGCCACTAGACTATAGCATAGCGACTCGTATTTCTCATGGGAGATGGTATAATTCCCATTAAACCCCAGCACAGCTCGAAGTGAAGCTTCCAGGTTTTGTGAAAGGACACCTGTCCTGAATTGAGGTCGCACACTGCGAGCCCTTTCCAGTCTAGACAAGTTTCAATTTGAAAATGGAGAGAGAGCCAGGCAAGCCCCAAGACCCGGCGCGGTTTCTCAACCCACTAATGAGTTGTGACTCGCAGTTTGAAACAGCCCAAATCTAGACCCAGCGTGGCTGTCCGGGTGGGGGCGCTGTGCGGCTGAGGACAGCTGCCCGCAGCAGTGCCCAGCCCCGTGTCCGTCGTCCCACAGGAGCTAGAGATGCAGGCGCGGGTGCACGGCCTTCCCACCACCTCGCCATCGGGCGTGAACATGGCTGAGCTGGCCCAGCAGGTGGTGAAGCAGGAGCTGCCCGGAGAGGAGGCCCCGGGGGAGACGCTGATGCTGGGGGCTGAGGTCCCTGAGCCCGAGCCGCTGCCATCACTGCCCCCCCAGGCCCCGCTGCCCCCTCCCGCCGAACCCCCGTCCCCGTTCCACCACCTGGACTTTGGCCACAGCCTGAGCTTCGGGGATGGGGGCGACGAGGGCCCTGCAGGCTACCCCGACCCCCTGGGGCCCGAGCACGGCTTCCCCAACCTGTCCAAAAAGGATCTGGACCTCATGTTCCTCGATGACTCCCTGCTGCCGCTCGCCTCCGACCCCCTCTTCTCCACCATGTCCCCCGAGGCCTCCAAGGCCAGCAGCCGCCGCAGCAGCTTCAGCATGGAGGAGGGCGATGTGCTGTGACGCCGGTGGCCCCCGCGCGAGGACGGGGTGGCCCCAGGCCGCACGTGCGTGTGAAGCCGTGCTCCCCGTGACTCCTCTGTGGACTGGGTGCGCGCCTGGCGGTCTGTGGGGTCCCGAGGCAGCACCCCTAGGGGCAATCCTGTGGCTGGACTGGCTGTGAGCCGACTGCAGGGGCTGCGAGGAGACAGTGGCCTGGGCATCAAGAGCCCTCACCCCACCCCTGTGCAGGGTGCTGGGTAGCAGGGGCTTTGGGGAGCTCCTGTGAGGCGGCACCTGCCCGGGGCCCTCAGCCTCGCTTTCTGGGGCTCCACAGTCACCCCGCAGGTGGGCACCTACCCACCTTTGGTGCTAACAGCTCTCCCCGTGGGGTGAGGGCGGTGTGGCCAGAAGAGAGGGCTGGGTTCGGGGCTGAAGGGTCACTGCTGGCAGAGCAGCTCCCTTCTCTCCGGACCCCCACTTTGTGCCTTCAGTAAACACTGTGCTTTGTACTCCCTGGTCCTGTCTCTTTGGCGCTGGCCTAGGGCAGGTGGCAGGAATTCAGACTTCCGAGGTTCAGACTTCGAGTGCTTCCTGAGGCCTTGTAGAGAAAGCGACAAACACTGAGCTCCCCCAGAACCTCACAGCTCCTCAGCCAGAGAGGAGACAGCTTTGGGTGCCAACGTGGGCATTGTCCCTCCTCGGGGCCACAAGGTGGCGCTGCCGCCACGCCGGTCCCGCACCTCCCGCTGCGGCCCGAGCCTTTCCGGCCAGAGGAGGCAGACCGAGCTTCGCTCCCCAACCGGGCCAGTCCTCCCGTCTGGCCTCCCCGTGCCACTCAGCTGGCCGCCCCAGTCCTGGGACAGTCCCTCTGCTGTGATGTGGCCTCCAGCAGGGCAGGCGCCCTGGCACCCTTGTGGGGAAGGGCCCTGTGTGAGCTGGCTTTAGGGGGGACGCCGCGGCGCCGCACGGTCTAGTGGCGAGGCTTCTGCTAAGCCTTTGCTCTTAGGGCAGGAAAAGGTTCTATGCGGCCACCTCAGCCCTGAGGAAAATAGAGAAGGGATCTTTGGGGTTTCATCTTGTCCCCCAGACTTCCACCGAAGTGGCTGCACCTCACAGTCACTTCGGGATCTGGGAGGCCGAAGAAGCATTAAAAAAAAAAAAAAAAAAAAAGATCCCAACTGAAAATGGCTAAGAGGACAATTTCCTCTCTGAAGCACTAGAGATCAAATCAACGTTAAGCAATTAACGAGCGAGCGGAGACACGGAATGGGTCTGGGATGTGGGCAACAGAGCCACCGGATTGGCGGTGACTCAGGATTAGTCTCAAGGTCAGATGGAGCGGTGGATGACCTTGCAGCCTGAGCCAGCCCAGGCGCTGGCTCCTTCCGGCTGCAGTACCCCACCCCTGGCCACCGCGCAGCCCTGAACTGGGGCTGGGTGTCAGTGGAATTTATACAGTATTTAAGCCACGTGTGGCTCTCTGGGCCCTCCAGGGGTGGGGTCTTCCAACCGCGCAGAGATCTCTCCCTGCCTGGCTGGGCTTCTTCACCCTGGGGCCCCCCAAGGCCACTCTGGCCTCCCCCACCTGCCGCCCAGCTTCCTGATCCACAGTGGGATCTCAGTGGCAGGGCCCCAGGGTGTGAGTGGAGTTCTAACCACAAGAGGGCCCCCCAGGCCAGGGCCAGGTGGCCGCGAGGGCTGGCTGGAGGGGTGGAGGGGTCAGCTTCCCTGAACCTGGGGCTCTGCCCAGTGGCCTCCACCCTGAGGGTTGTGTGTCCTTACCGGCTGAGTCAGGGCGACCCTGGGGCTCCTCCCAGGGTTTAGCACCAAGAGGTGTGTCGGTGGCCAGCTTCGAGACCCTCACTTGGGCTGGAGAGAAGTCCTACTCCCAGGGGGATGCGTCCTCCCAGTGGCTCTGCCTTGGGTGGGCGGCTCCTTTCCAGGCAGTCCATGAGAAGATACCTGCCCGCCTCCCTCCCCCCTCTCTTCTTCCCCTTTCCTTCCTCACACAGGGTTGAACCCAGT